TGATTACCAAAGCAATTCTCTTAATCAGCAAGTTTAGTGCAGAGTGAAGCCTTACAGAACACGGCTCAAATGCCTGTAAACAAAATCTTTTTTTTCCAATTATGCAGAGACCTCTGCTTTGATTCCAAGTGATAGTTTGTGGATGCACAATATTGTCACCTTATAAATAACATATCTATTTCCACTCGGGAGTCTGTTTCCTGAAACAACGTCACTAATAAATTTGCACTGCTTGTAGAGCTAGAGATGATATCCCCCTTTACTCAGTATATACCTTTATTGCCATGTGTATGTGTGTAAGAAAAAATGTAGTCCAAGTACTTCTTAAAGGTGAAGCAACAGCTGTTTAAGAAACAAGAATGACTTCACCAAACTATTTATAATATGAAAAATCTTATTTGGGGGGAGGGGTGTCAGGGGGGAGACACACAAACAAACCCAAAACCAGCAAAGAATGTCTTCCAACTCAGCTACCTCCACAAATCCTTATTTCTCCCTCTGTTCTTACCCAGTCTCAAGTAATTCTGCTTGTTCAAAACACTGTGGCTATAATCAGGTCAAGTCAATTACAATAAGCAAACATCACCAAAGACTAAAACACTAAAACACCACAACTAAAACAAAACAAATCTCGGGCATTTCTCTGCATATGGTCTTTTTAAACTGAGATCTAAAAATAGACAGACAGACAACAAGCAGGCTTAAACAATTTTATCAGTGGTTGATTTATTTCGGCCTTCTGCTCTCCCTGGTCACAATTCAGTGCAACCCATAAATAAGTTAGGCTGGTGAAGGAGATTGAATTTTTGAGGCCAGAACAGTAATTGAGGAATTGAACAGCCTGGAGGTTGAAATATCTTCTCCTGAGACAGAAGCCTTTGGACCTATTAGCAGCTGTCTATTGCTTTTCCAGCCATGGACACCTATGACCACGTCAACACATAGAACTGATTTACACTCCTTTGTGTGGCACACAGACAGATCTCCTACGTGTGCTGGGCTCCACCATGCTGGGACTCTACAGAGAAAGGATATCTCAGGGATATATCTGACTAAAAAGCAGCTTCTCTCAAAACTATATGAAGGCCCAATTTCCCGTGAAGAAAATCTGCACCAGTCCAGCACGGTTTAATTATACAGAAAGCTGTGTTTTTCACTTTTTCCACACTGTGTCAGTACTCATAAAGGAAAGTCTGAAAGGGAAGACTGAGAGAAGGAATTTGCTTTTTTTTCTTAAAAACAAAACAAGCAAAAGCAAAACCCCGCCATCACCTACCTCTTCATTTTTTGCTCATTCCCTCAGAATCAAACTTTGAGAAGAAAAGATGAGACTCCACAGAAAATCAAAGAAGCAATGGATGGCAAAATCAACCCAGGTCCAAAGGCAAAGAGGCAAAAAAAAGTATCTCCAGGCATTGCTCTGTATGAAAACATGGAAAAGGGGAGGCCTGCAGAGGAGGCCTGAGCTCTCCATGAGGCGCAGAGGCTGTTTAGGGGCAGCTTTGAGGCTTTTACCTCAGGAACACAGCCTGCCTGTCAGGGGCTTGCTGGGACCTGTTCCTTCACCTCTGTGGACAGACCCACGTCTGAATCACAGGTCAAAGCACAGAGACAGACAGTGCTTCCCCTTCCTCACTAACTCAGCATCCCACAAAACCTGCAGCAAATGTTATCCCTAAGATGGAGTCACCCAGAGTGGGCCACAGACTTCCCAAGAGGGGCGGGAGTGGCTCCCCACACACCTCCCCTGAGCAGCCGGGTTTGGAACAGCCACAGTGACAATCACACACCAAAAAGAGAATGAAACTCGATGGCAGATCAAAACGGCACCCCGGGGGACTCGGGGCAGAGCTGGAAGCCCTGCCCAGGGCCCTGTGGCACAAGGAAGTGAGGCTGGAACGGAGGGAGTAGCCAAAACGTGTTAACACGAGGTTCACCTCTTCCTCAAAGCAAAGCCTGCATTTAACTTGAAATCACTAAGGGATGGATTAAAAAAGGAAAAGAGGAAATACGAGAAAAAACATCACTTTTTAAATCACTATTAAAATCCACATTTCCATCTTTTGCACAGTCTGTAAAGAAAAAACCAAACCAACTGAAAAAAATCCATACATCTGGTTTTGTTTTGTAAGAAAAGATGACAGCAGCTGAAACTAAAAAGCATTTCTTAAAAATTGGTTTTGAATATCACATTTGTTCTGATCAAGTCCATCATAGTTTGTTTTGAAGAAAGGCTCCTGATGGCACAGAGTACAAACACAAAATGGCAAGTTTGTTAGATCTGGTAAATGCCAAGGAAGATGGACTGTATAATGGAATTTAGCACTACCAGTTATTAATAAATAATTTTTCTGATTAAATATTCCCACATCATCATCATGATTTTTCTCTTAAGCCTGTACTCACAGGTACCTTCTGCTCTGCTCCTACTAGATCTCAACACAGACAGGATCAGTGATTTGGATGCATGACACTAACCCAGGATCTCTTATGAATAAGCTGCTCATAAAATACCATCTCTCCAAATTGCTGTTGGGGGAACAGATGTCAGGTCCCGCCTCTCCAAAGGACTGGGCACAACTCAGCCCCACACACAGGAGGCAGATGAGGGCTCCCCCTTTGCCCATCACCAAACTCCTCGAGCAAGCCACTGTCTGACCAAGAGTTGTTCAAGGGGAAAGGGGAGTGTGTTCCCTTCCTGACATTTGGAAGTATTTCTCCATGACCACCAGAATACTGCCCAGTTGGACATTTTCTCTCGAAGTCTTGTAAACAAAATCCAAAATTTAAAGGAATTTTCTGTCAGCTTTGGCTTAGTTGAAAATTTTCATCTTAAGCAAGCAAAGAAAATAGATCTTCACCAAAATGTCTTCGAATAACAAGAGTTTCTATTAGAAATGTGGATGGGCAGCCAGTCTCCTAAAAGAAAGAAAAATCACTCCTCTGTAGCTCAACTGGCCCTCATGAAGGTCTCTGCATGCAGTGGGTTATGCAGAGATGTGCAGGAGGGAGGATCACCAGCCCCATGTTGTTCCTCAGCAGCAGCTCTTCCCCCCTCACCATGTGATGTCTCAGCAGCCTCCTGCTCCAGCTGACGCAGAAATCACTGCGAGAGAACAGGACACCAGAGCAATGAAATTAAATTTAAAAAAAATCACAAGGGCACCTTCTGAACAGGTGCTGTAAACGTGTTACTCGTGACAGATTTTTGAACTCAACTACCTCCGACATCCTCACAAGGTACACACAGCAGGCTACAAGTCTCTGCTTCTTGGAGAAACAGCACATCTGCAGAGGGACAACTCAGAATTAACTTCCAAAGCCCCTGCTTGCAGTTGTACTGTTACACTGGCAGTAATGAGGCACAGGGATTAAGCAACTCAGACAACTGGCAGGATGTTTAGGATTTACAGCTGTAGTGTACTCCCCAAATGGCTCTTCTCAGCTCCTGCACAGTAACAGTAACTACTTCAGTTACAAACCTTCACAGGAAAGGGTTAACAACCCCACAGAGACACTCCTACAGAGCACAACAAACCAGTTAATTATTGCAGTCCATTTAAAGATAGGCGGACAGAACAACTACAGATATTATGTAATATAAATTATTTAATGTTTAACTCATATGAAGTAAAAGATTGTACACAAATACATAACATCCAGTGGGGTTCATCACCTTTCTCTGCTTTGCACAGATTTATGTTACTCTTTTTGGAGAAAATTAAAACTTGGCACTCACTGAACATCCTATATTTAAAACTCAGTAAATAAGAAAAATAATATGTAATAAGATTTTCAGATGAAGTATCACCTCAAGGGTTATGGACAATCTATACTATAGTAAAACAGGCCATGCAAAAAACCTCATTTCTTGATCTGAAATGTTAATTTGTGTAATCCCACATAAACATACTAATTAACATTCTGTGAAGATCTCCCTTCACTCTGCCCAAGCATCGTGATATACATACAGCACATACACACTGTATTTATATCATCTTAATGATTTCACCCCACTGACAGATGTTTTCTGGGCAACTTACCAGATGCTTCTCAGATGTTATTTATATTACAGTTTACAGGGGAAGTACTAATATTGTACATCTAAAATGGTTATCAGCCATCACCTTAACAGCAAATGACAGAATTTGAATTTCATGAAAATAAGGAGTTAATTTTTATTACTAGAATTCTCACTAAAATACATCATTTTCTAAACATAATACATAAACCAAGGAGAAAAACTGAATACAATGCCTGTTTATTTTTCACACACTCCCCACAGCCCCCTTACATGTGTTCAAATATGACTCTCCTCTGAACTACACAACACATGTGGGTGGTAGGTACGAGGAGGTTTTCCAGTGCTTACTGTAGCACACAGCCAAGTTTGCAGTGGAACTACAAATTACTGTTTTTCAGGATAACCAGCACTGACAAGAAAGCAAATGCTGTAAATGCCTTTGACAGTTTTCTTTGATCACACTGTTGCAGATAAACTGCTGACAGTTTAAAACAGCAACTATTCATCTCAGTGCTGTTGACACATTGAATAAATACCACCACAATATGCAAAATATTTATGATTTACCAGCATTTTTTCTATCAAAATGATCCTGAGTGTCAGGTAAAAACAGTCTAAAGTGTGATTTACTGAGCATCTCAGTCAGCCTGATTACACATTAGATTTGAATTTCCTTAGGATGATGGCAGGTCCAACTCCAGATATCACCATTAGCATTTTCCAAACCTAGGTCCTGTATCAATGTTAGCTTTGCCAGGTGTCAACTGCAATGGAATCCTGGGGAAGGACTTAAAAAGGAGAAAAAACAAACACTATATGCATTCTTAACAAACAGAAAAACCTTTTCAAGGGTGAGAGTGAAAGTAAGTCTGGACTGCACTGACTGATGAAAAATACTACATTCTGCACCACCTTGTAACCATTATCTGACTTTATCTGACTTTATCACTATGAAAGAACAACAGACAAAGCAAAAAAAGTTCAGGGTCAGCATATTTTATTCCTTGAATTGTGAGGGAAAATTTACCTGGAAAAAGTGTAACTTTCCAAGGAGCACACAGTATCTCAAACAATAACACCTCACGCTCCATTGAGCAGGAGGTTTGACAAGGTTTTCTCAAATTGCACAAATTTAAGAACTGCCCAAACCAGTATCCAACTTACTGTTTTTTATAAACCAAAAAATAATCCAAATGGTAAATGACCACTATTCATTAAAATGTCTTTTTCTTCAACTGTAAGCACAGTTCTGAATGATGTCAGGTGAGGCAGTAGGGAACTGTTAACTGCTGAACAGATATAAATAGAAAATGAAAGCACTTTAAGAGTCTTCTTCCATAGGCACCTCCTCTTGTAGTTTCTGCACCATTTTGTCCTCCAGTTGTTTTGGTTTGCCTTCAAAGAAAAAAAAATTAAATTAAAGACGTTTCTCTAAACCCAAAGAACTGATTTTATCTGAACAATATATGTGTTTATTTTTGGCGAAACAGTCTAAATACATTGCTTAAAGAGTTATTTAGGAGTAAAACCATCATGCTCAAAGGTATGTATTGCTATCCTCTATCACCAGTTAAAACTACTGAATTGTTTTAGCAGAGAAACTGATGCTGTTTATAAGCAAAATCTAAAATGCAGTCAAACATATTTTCATCTAGCATGACAAACTGATACAGTTGACAATGCCTGGCAGAACCTGGCAAAGCACTATAAAAATGCATTACTTCTAACAGATCAATGGCCTTCTCACATTAGTTTTTACATAAAGATTTAAGTCCTTCTGAATGCTGTGTTGGATGGCAAGAGTGTTAACTCTCAATAATACTAACACAAGGAAAAGAAAGGAAAATAAAAATTCAAGATTTACATTTGATTCTCTCCCTCCTAGTTAGAATTGCAGAATACTGATAAATAAAAATGTTTGACTCAGAACAAAGCTACTGCTTTCAGTTAGTGGCAAGAGCTATTCTCCATAACCAGTAAACAAATCAATGGTAAGACAAATGCACAGGATTACTCATCTGTACAATTGGGCATTTATCCTAAAACTGTGCATGGAAACCAGGTAAAGCAAGTTCTTACCTGCATGGGGAGCACGAAGAAGGTGAATATTCTGTTTGACTTCTTTGATGTCTTCTGCCTTCTGCAACTCTTTGCTCTTCTTTAATCTGGGGAAGAGGAAGATTAGATTCAATTAACTTAAAAGAGGAGATGAGATGTACACTTTCATTTTAATGCATGACATCTTTTGCTAAAGGAAGGTATAGGTTGTGGAAAACTATTATTATGAGGAAATACAGGTTAAAAGTATTTGAAACCCTATTCAAGTAAATCCTGGATACAAAACTAGGAAAAAACCAGCACTGTATCAACTCTAATCAGAAATTTGTTTAAATGTAAGACTCTGAATTATATACAAGGAAATTTAACTATTATCATTGAGTGTCCAAAAGTTGCATTTGCTTTGACAGCCAATAATGCAGAGTAGAGCCCACTCAAACTATTTTACCCCATCACTTGGATGACTGTGTATATAAAAAGCAAATAACCACTTAAAACATTTGATCATCCTGTTTGTGGAAAGGATGCCTAATACAGACATGTGAGAGCTCCCACCATACAAATACTTCTCACCTGTTCATAATAAACCTGGCTTGGCGTTTTTGCTTTATTTCCTCCACTCTCTTCATTGCATCAACTGAAATAAATCAGAAATTGTTTTAAATCTGCTTACATACCTGCAGATGAAAATACATGCTATTTTTACAGAGCAACTCTAGCAGCACTCCATAACATCTATGTACCAGAGGCAAGTCTTACACTATATAGAGAAAGTTATTCCTTCTTCGAAGAGCAGGATAAGGGAATATTCTGTGTAACAACTATGATGAACTGTATTTTACAACTTATTTATGCTTCCACTTTTCTGCCTACACATAATTCTCACAGTTAACCATCACTAGGGAAGATTCAGTTGCAACTGAGCTTCTTCACTGCTTGAAATCAGATGCAAGTTACTACTTTCTCCTTTGTGGCATTCACTCATGATACAAGCAGTTCTTCCCTTTCATAGCAATTGATTCCATGAAAGAAACTGAAGTGGAATGAGCAGGAACAAAGAAACAACTGTAGCAGTGTAAAAGGCTTACACTGGGAGCCTCTTAAAAGCTGGAGAACCGCTAAGGGGTTTTGAAGATAATAATTCAAAATAAAGGAATGCTGGTCCTCATTTTCTAACCATTTTCTGAAAAGAATAAACGTCCAGTGAAACTCCACACCTGTGCACAACTCAAACCTCCTCCACACATAAGAATTTGGTCATGATTCCAGTAATTTCAAACACAATGACAACAAAGCATGAATACTCTAAGTAGTCTCCTGAAAATACATTCATGTAGAGTAAAAAATTATTCTTTTGTTTTTTTCTAGAATGACTCACCAGTCTTGTTCCACAACTCTCTCTGGTATTTCACTGGTTCATTTCTACGTTTTTCAAACTCAAATGAATTATCCTGTATTAAGAAAAAGTAAATATAGATCATATATAGAAGCATATTTAGATCAACACATTCTTACTATAGCACTCATTACTCACATAACTTCATATTTTATGTGACTTTTGTCCCTCCTTTCAGAACCTCAGTTCCCAGACTTTAACAACCTTTAGAGATAACTACACTAGAAGGAAATCAAGTGAAGAGTTTGACCTCAAAGTGTCAGTCAGGAGCCACAGTGATTTGTCTGAAGAGAACTATTTACTGAAACGTCTCCCTCAGCTATTTTCTATTTAGCAAGATAGGGAGACAGAGAAAACCTATGTGGAGCAGGAAATACAGAATAGATTAGACAGGTGGAAGGCAAAATTGAAAACCTGCAGAGTTGAAATATTTTAATGCAGGTCAAATAAGTTCTACTCAACAGCTTGCAATTTCAAAAAAGTTAAAAAAAAAAACAACCACTATTTCATCTTAATATTGAAACAATATAAATTAATTTGAAATATGTCAATTGGTGACATTGTGGTGTTTGGAGCAGCTGCCATCCCCTAATGCCCCCACCATGAGTTGAAGACGGAAAAACAGTTTCCTAATTATTTTGTTAGGCATACTTAGCTTTAGACCAGTTTTATCTGAGGACTTTTCCCTGCCCAAAGGTTGTTTTTTGTTGAGGTAAAGCAGAGTTACCTGTCACCTTCTTAGAAACTACATTATTTCCCATCATCACAAGCCTATTTAGACACTACGCAAAGCTGGCTCATTATGCATGTCAAAATTGGAGCATATTGTCACTTATTTAGACATATATAAAGAAATTTTAAATCAAGTTCTTGTCAGAAAGGTAATTCAAGTTAGCCAAAAACAACTTGAAAGCAAGAAACACAGTTACCAAAGTTGCTAATTAATCTTGGCTTTTCAGAGTCACATTAAAAAATAAAATCACATTCTTCCCCTTGGAAGATCCACAGAAGGCAGTAAATCACTGTGCCAAAATGCTTACTAAATTGTTAATATTGTGTCAAAACCCAGATAATTAAATCACAGTAATTCTTAAATTATTTAAGGACTGTCCCACCAAATGTGACTGTTTAATATTTTTACCACCAAAGCAACTCTGTTTGGAACTGCTTTTAAGATCTCATGCTGTTTTTGAAACAGTCCTACCTATCAAATTTTCCTATACACTGTATGCTTTTAAAGACACTTCAAAAGGTAACTATTTTAGGGGCCTACACTGAGAGACTTCCTGGGGTACCTGTTGACCCAGATTATCTGACTGTGCAGAAATAAAACTATCAAATGGATAGGTACAGAGAGTAGAAGATTTGTAGATGGAAAGAAATGCCTTGGACTAGGAGTTACCAGGACCACCAACACGGACACCTGATACACTGGCCTCCACCATGAAGCTGAAATGGGAAGATCCAAGCTACAGTCAAGCTAAATGAATAGCTCAGTCTCAAAAAACTCTCACATTCTCATCCACAATCCCTCTTTTCTCCCCTTCTTCCATCCCTCCAGCTCATCTAACTAAATGGTAATGTATTAAGCCACCTAACCTAGCCTATTTGCAATGGGAAGAGGCTACATTTCTGCCATTTCATAGTGTCAATGTAAAGTGTGAACCAATTCTTACCACTGTCAATTCTTTGCCAGCTGCTTTTCGGAATGCTTTGGTCCATCTCATCTTTCTGGGATTTCGCTTCCTCTTAAAGTTTCTGTGGCATTTTGATTTGCAGAATCTAAATATCTTAGAGAAGGGAGGTGGGAAAAAAAAAATCTTAGTTAAACCATGTTATTAGTGCCCCATTGCAAGCATAGTAACAAACACTGAGCTTGCTCTAACAATACTACTCATGGGAAATTATATTCCTCTTTCAAATATCAGTATTCTTATAGCAAGTATTGCTATTAACAAAAATAATTTCAAGCACTATTATTGTTTTTTCATCATGAAGTCATTTTCACAGCTGCCAGGGATATGTACAAATACTTACAATTAAACTGATTATAAATAAAATATGCCTGAGCTGTGAGAATTATCATCTGCAAAAATAACCATAAAACCAAACCTGTCGCATGAATAAACAATTTTATGTAGCTGCCAGCACTTTTTAGATACAGCACCATTCTGACAATAAAAATCCTCACACCTCTCATACTGAATGCAACACACACACACACACACACAAAAAAAGTCTATTTTCTGGAATGCAGCTTTAAGCCTCAAAGGAGTTCTAAGCACATTAGTTAAGTCCTGGAGTGAATTCATTGAAAGCTGTTAAAGAATATGTTAAAATGTTTTAACTGGACTTTTTCTTCTTTCCCTATTTTTCCACACATTCTACAGAATGCCAGATTCTTTATTTAAGAATACTTAAAACTACATTTGTTACTTGCGAATTTTTGAAAACCCTATTTTTCTAAACCATATTCTCCTTCCCACCGAATAGTCACTTCTAAAGAAAATTAACAGAAAATAAGAAACCTCTAGTTAAGGTGATCACCTTCAAAGAACTTTTTTTTTTTTTTTACACTCTTCTACCAAGTTTTTTCACCTCAACTCAGCGAAAACAGAATGGCAGGTTTGTCTCTTTCACAGATTATCTGTTCACAGCTAACCTGCCACTGTGGTATCTTTTTTAAGCACACACCTAGTGGCCCTTTTCAGCAAACGGAACCATGTCAGTGCACACCGAGCTCCCCAGAGCCGTGACTCATGCGAGCAGTGCAGCCCGGCCGGGATGTGTTCTGACGCCCGAGCACAGGAAGGAAGCTATTTGCGCAAGCTTCACTTCACACCGGGGTCTCCAACGCCCCGCAGGAACGACGGCGAGTTTCGGCAAAGGCTGGAAAACTGTACACAACGTTTTATGTGCGGAATTGTCACCGCAGTGCAAAGCCCAGAGCGCTGTGCACGGCCTGCTGTGACAGCCTCAACTGGGGGAGTCACATCAGATCCCCGAGTTACGACTTTCAGCACTTTTAGCAGAGCACCGCGAGGAACACAGACCATCGGCCTCCCTCTCCAACTTCGGCTGCTCAGAGCTGTGCAACCTGTTCCTATCTGAACCTACACTTCCCTAAAACCAGAATATTAAAGGATGAGGATTGTATATGGCTCTGCGAGCCGTTTAATTTCTTACTAAGAACCGACAACAAATATAATTCATCCCCCACTCTTCCCGACGGCCAAAGCGCTGCATCGCTCCGGGTGGAGGCTGCCGCCCCGCCGACACTCCCGGGCGGTGTGTGCGGGCCCGGCAGCGCCTCACGAACGCGGCCCGGCCCGTGCGGGGGCTGCGGCCCAGGGAGAGGGCCCCGGGACCCGGCCGTGACCGCCCGCGCGGGGGGACGGCGAACCCGCGAGCGCCCCCGGCTGCCGGGGCAGCGGGCCCGCCCCGCCGTACCTTGCAGTCGTTGCGCAGCGAACATGACGCCGTGGCCCGGGTAGATCGGGCCCGAGCAGAAGTAGCACTTCTCGATCCGCATGGCCGCGGCTCGGCCCGGCGCCCGCCGCCGCGGAAGGGCCGCTCACGTGACCGGAGGCGGCGGGCCGGGCCCGCAGCGCCACCGCCCCCTGCCGGCCCCGCCGGGCAGCGCGGCCGCTGCGCTCCCACAGGAGTGAACGGGCCCCGCGGGAGCGGGGGGAGCCCAGGGCCTGAGGGGAAGTGATCGCTGCTGGGCCCTTGGTCAGTCACAGAATCACTGGATATTCTGAGCTGGAAGGGACCCACAAGGATCACTGAGTTCAACTCTTAGCCCTGCACGGGACAACCCCAAGAGTCACACCGTGTGCCTGAGAGCGTTGTCCAAACACTCCTTGAACTCTTCCACACTTGGTGCTGTGACCACTGCCCTGGGGAACCTGTTCCAGTGCCCAACCACCCTCTGGATGAAGAGCCTTTTTCTAATATACAACCTAAACCTCCCCTGACACAATTCAGGCCATTCCCTCGGGTCCTGTCACTGGTCACCACAACGAAGAGATCAGTGTCTGCCCCTTCTCTTCCCCTCGTGAGGAAGTTCTATCTGCAATGTACCTCAGTCCCCTCTTCTCCAGGCTGAACAGACCCATGACCTCAGACACTCCTCGTATGACCTCCCCTCACCATCCTCACTGCCCTCCTCTGGACACTCTCTAATAGCTTTATATCTTTCTTATATTGTGGAGCCCAAAACTGCCCTGATATTCCAGGTGAGGCCGCCCCAGGTCAGGGCAGAGCAGGACAATCCTCTCACTCACCTGGCTGGCGATGCTGTGCCTGATGCCCCTCCAGGACACGGCTGGCCCTCCTGGCTGCCAGGGCACTGCTGACTTACACCTAACTTGCCATTGACCAGGCCCCAAACACTGTAAGAAAGCTCCAGTGGCTGGAGCCACAACTTCTAAACCATTACGCAAACAGGTTACTGGGGGGAAATGATGAAAAGAGTATCTACAAAAGGAGTAATATGCCAAAACACACACACACACACACACACTATATTCACTCACCAGATGCAGACATCAGCCACATGGATGCTCGCTGCAATCCATTACGTCAAGAGTGTGGTCCATCCTTTGGTTTGACCAGAGGGAATACTGTGAGACACTCAGAGATACTCATGCTCATGAAAGTAGTAAAATAAAAAACAAAAACACCCATACACAGAAAGGAAGTTGGAATGAACTATTAGACAATGCTGCATCTTCAGAAGTAAGCTGACTTTCCTCTTTCCCAAATGACTCTCTACTTCCCTGAAACATACATTCATATCTTAATGATCAGCTTGTGTTCAAGCTCCTCCAGCTTTTCTTTATAAATGAAACATTTTGTTCTAAGTGTGAGAAATGAATGAAGCTGAAATGGCTCAGTATTAACACAAGAATAAACACAGGAACCCAAGGAAATGAAAGGGAGTCAGACATAGATTTTTAAATCTATTGCTTATTTCCTCTAAAATTCAGGCAAAACACCTTTGGCTCTGTTTTCATGCCTGTAAGATCCAAGTCTTCTACAGGGGAATTAATTTTTAAAGCAAAATTTCAAGTACTGTCAAAAATCAATGGCTCTGCACAACATACAGGAACCTATTATTCCTTCTGTTCCCTCTCCTAGAGTTACCTGTGAGAAGACCTAAATGCTAGGCTCTGTACCTTCCTAAATGGTTTGGAATTGGAGCAGATCTCTCTGTTCTTCAATCTAGGACACTGTCCCAGCTCAGAGTCTGAAATCTTCCTCACCACATAAGGCCTTACCACCACAATTCCTGCTTCTCCATTTAAAAGAAATTAACTACTTGAGTATTTGGTGAAAAATCCATGTGTTGAATTGCATGTGCCTTTAGAGCAGTTTTTGCTTTCTGGTTTCTAGAACAGCAAAAAAAAAAACAACAGTGCTGTATTAAGAAAGATTGAAGGAAGAAAGAAAAATTGCTTTAGCACAGAAATCACTTACCTTATCAGCACAGAACTTGTCTCCAATCTTTTTGCAAACCAGACGTCAGCCACATCCTACTGCAGGAGACACGGGCTCAAGCACATGACTGGTGACCAGCACTCAGCCCAGCCCTAAGGGACAACAGCTCCAAACTGACCCAGAGACAGTGAGGAGATGGGACTGTACAGGATGTTACTGTCATGCTGCACCCTGGAGCAGGGACTCTGGGGCTGCGACAGAGGATGGCAACCCAGATGATAAGAGGAAAGACTAAAGGCACACACAAAACGCAATTTTATGAGGGAAGCTATGAAGACACCAAGTTTACAGCTAGAGGCAAATCCAAAGAGTAAAAAAGTTTGCTTATGTCCAGGGCTGCTGTGCTTTGGCATATGCAATAGAAATCCTCCTTTTCCAGTTTGATTACTTTGAGTTTCCTGCCTCTGTGACTTTTTTTCCCCATGGGCTGTATTTATTTCACCAAAGACAGCTTTTTCCTGGCAGAGTACTGTATTGTGAAGTCTTTGGTGGCTTCTACAAATTAAACAATGTGGATTACAGACTGTCACCAACACCTTCAGCAGACAGATGGGATGTGAGAGCACAGTGATATTACTTTTCCACCTCAGCTCCTTTTTTCACATCAAGGCACTAATCTCCTCTTCAAGTACAAGCCATTCTGTTGTCAATTTGAAGTGCTTCTTCCGATCTAAAAGGCAATATAGATGGAAGGTTGCTGAAGCCAGAGTTCAGATTAGTTATAAAAAAAGAATATGTACTTTACTCCATTACTAGTTACTCACAGACAAAACTGGGTATCCAGCTGAAAAACAGCAGCTTATTTGTTTGATTTTTGACACAAGAGTACTACAGCAAGAATTGTTTCACCAAACATCTCAACCCAATACCTTAAACTCATAGCAAAGCTCTGATCTGCACCAACCTGGTGCCTTCATTTTACTAGTGCAGCCCCAGATGCAGTTGGTCCTCTCTGCCACAGTGGCACACTTCTGGCTTTTGGTCAGCCTGCTTTGGAACAGGATGCCCACTCCTTTCCTGAAAAATGTTTTTTCAGCTAGTGCTACTGCATGGGGTTATTCCAGCCCAGACAGAATACCAGGTCAAACTTGCCTCTTTTAAACTTAAAATTGTTTAGTTCAGCTCATTCTCTTGCCTGTCAAGGAACATTTGAATAGCAGCAGTGTCCTCCAGGACATCATAACCTACCTGGAAATACACACTGCTCTTGATGGAAGCAGTAATTCTGAAAAATCAGGCGCTTACCTTTGTAGAAGCAATAGATTTTACAAAATGTATTGGTTGATTCCCTTTGCTCTGAACATGCAGCATGCACAGACTGGCAGCATTCTAAATGTCTTATGAGTACAGAACTGACACCTCTATTGCCTTCTGTGGGTTTGAGCTCCTTCTGGCATCTCCCAGGACCCATCAGGCCCACATCTGACTGGTTTGGTCAGTGCAAGAGCAGAATATCAGGAAGCACCTCGGCCACAGCACAGAATGTGGATGCATTTGAACTAAAAAACCCCACAACACACAGGGACAGTGCAGAGGGACAGACTGACACTGAACCGAGACAACAGGAAATGTCACAGCTCTCTTCAACAATGCTGGCAAAGTTCAGATCAGGAACGTTTAACTATTTGATATTAATAAGAAATCTTGAGGCAATGAAACATAAGGGAAATCCTTTCCAAAACTTTGTTCCATTACACATCAATGTTTTCATTGGACGCTGGATGGAAGCAACTTTTCTTGAAATAACAGTTTCTCATCACATAAGAATTCTTGTTTCTTTGTTTTTTAAAACCAGTACTAGACTAATAAGAATAGTGTAATTTACTGTCAGGAAACATTACCATGATTTCTCATGAGAGTTTAAAAGGGAAAAAAGTTCTGCCACACAATAATTCAAACAGATAAATCTCATGACACATTTCAAAGGCTGACATCAAAGCAATTTTATGTAGACTCTCTTTGTAAATAGCTACAAATAACAGGCATGACAAAAATATGACAGTTCCAGTATTTAATATTTAATATCCAATTTAAACATAAGTATTCAAAAGGAAATATTTTTACACCATTTCAGTAGCCACTTAGCTCAGTAGTTGGTTGCAATAATCCTTAAAGTTTTCAGGTACTGGATGGAGCATAAGCACAAAAACTCCCATTAAAGTTAATGCATGACAAAGTTCCACTGTAACCCTCTGAAAAGCAAAGAGTTACATTAAAAGAAATTCAGACACTGAAGTACATTGAAATGTATTGTGTCCTACAGTAGAGTTTGTTGCTCTACTGGTCAGAGACATGATGGTAACTTCAAAAGGCACTCTGAGTTCAACTACAGTAACCCCGGTCCACAAGCGTTTTAGAATCTTGGTATTGTGCAGTAGAAAAAAAACAAACCCTATAATCATATATAAATTGCTTTTATCTCTGTCCTAGCTCCAGAGCAGTCAAATTATATTGCACTTTTAAAATATTCTGTGTAGGTTGTGATAAAAATTTAATATTTACATGTTGTGTTTGTTAAAGAACAACGCATTCCTGCGTAAAATATTTTAAGAACCAAGTTTTAACACTTATTCTTGTATTAATCAATATAACCAGAGGCTACATCAAATATATATTTTTTTCTTAACTCCTATTCTAGAAACATTTTTGGTCCTTCCTTCATAAAATTTGTTATGTTGCAATTCATGTTCATAAGTGGTATTAATACTTGCCTGAAATTGCAGTACTTAGAACATTTAAATAAATAAATACATAATTTCTAAAGAAGCAATACCTTTGGAGTTTTGTAAACAAACTGCTGTGGAAAGTCTTTAACAAGACTCAATTTGGCATGTTATGACTTTAATTGGCAATACTTTACAGTTATACAACCTCTGCCAGGATAGAAATCAGTATGGTAGGCACATCTCATAAATCAAACTGGAAAAAAGACCCAAAAAACACTGATTCTTTCTTAGGTTGTATGAATAAATAAAAATGGTCAGAGTAACATGATCCACTGAAACCAAAACTGACATTTATACGATCTGT